ACCACACACACACCACACACACACACCACACACACACCACACACACACACACACACCACACACCACACACACAACCCACACACACACACAACACACACCACACACACACCACACACACACCACACACACCCACACACACACCACACACACCACCACACACACACCACACACACACCACCACACACACACACCACACCACACACACACACACACACACACCACACACCACACCACACCACACACACACACACACCCACACACACACCCACCACACACCACACACACACACACCACACACCACAACCACACACACACACCACACACACACACACACCACACACACACACACACCACCACACCACACACACACACACACACACACCACACACACACCACACACACACACACACACACACCACACACACACACACCACACACACACACACACACACACACACACACCACACACCAACCCACACCACACACACACACACACACACACACACCCACACACACACACACACACACACACACACCACACACACACACACACCACACACACACACCACACACACACACACCACACACCACACACACACACACCACACAACACCACACACACACACACACACACACACACACACACACACACACACCACACACACACACCACACACACCACACACACACACCACCACACACACACCCACACACACCACACACACACCACACACCACACCACACACCACACACACACACACACACACACACACACCACACACCACACACACACACCCACACACACACACCACACACACACACACACCACACACCACCACACACACACCACACACACACCACACACACACCACACACACACCACACACACACCACACACACACCACACACACACCACACCACACACAACCACCAACACCCCACACACCACCACACACACCACACACACACCACACACACACACACACATCCTCTCTTACCAATTAATACCCGCATATTTTAGGTATTTTGGTAATCCTTCGATCTACTGGTAGATGGTAAATAGGGATCAACGTTTTAAGTACCCATGTTCTACAGAGTTGGTGCCCTAAATATTTCTTAAAAGACGGTATGAACTCTTGTTGCAGTAGAAAATAAATCTAGACTTTTTTAATGTTGAAATACTATTGATAAAGATGAGGTACAGCACTTAGTGACATTTCTTGAAGGAAGATGCGAGTTCCTGCGTTATTGTGATTTTTTCCAATAGAACCTTGGAAATCATAGAGGAATGTCACACACAGCATAAAGCAGTTTTGCTCATACGTATACTGACGTACGACGTCATCAAAGTACTACCTTTGATATGATTATACTGTCATTCACAATTTTTACTGAGCAAACATGACTACAATACTTTGGCGTAGTTTCAGAAATCGCATAATTGGAAAAGTAGAAAATATTACTCTAGTAGTGATGTTATTACGTTGACAAGTATGTCAGTGCAGCCATCTTTTTTTTTTTTTTTTTTTTTTGTGTGTGTGTGTGTGTGTGTGTGTGTGTGTGTTCGGGAAAAACACTTGATCTTCCGTATTATGAGCCCCGCGTTGTCAGAGTTCAGCTTTTTTTATTTAGTTCTTTAATTATATGCAAAAATAGGTTAATATATGTTAACCTAACTTGAAAATAACAAATATTAAATATCCATATCGTAGAATGTTAGATCGCGCAGAAATGAAATAATGGAAATTGGATAGAAATGTGCGTTTTGATCAAAGAACAGCAATGTCAGTGAAGTATAAGGTTTGATACATATTCCCCTCCCCCCTGGAGATGAAGTTTTGGAACTGTGGTGCAAGATGGTGAGGTCGTGTGCACTAGTACACAGTCATGGTCAGTGAGAGCCTCGTCCTTCCCGGTCGCCTTGCATGGCTTCCCTCAGCACCAGCAGAACGAGGTGAAGCCAAAGTTTTCAAGTTGGCGGCAGCAAACAAATGGGTTCGTGGAGGGGTCGATGACGCCACTTGCGAGGCTCCCCTGGCACTAACCCGCCGCTTCTCTTCCAGTCTTACCTGCAAAATACGAACTCATTGTTACACTGTCTTTAACGTAACTACTTAACCCCTTTTCACTGGTTCGGCATCCCTCTCTTTTTTTCACATTACTCAGTATCCTCCCATTTCTTGAACCACCTCTATAGACTGTCCTGTCACCTAACTCTGCACTAGACTTTTTCCTTACCCGAGTCATCTTGTCTCTTACAAGCCTGAGTCAATGGAAATTGGGCCTTCCAATTATTTAACACGGTATTGCTACCTTCTAGTTATTTTTAATTCTGCTTTACACAATTCTTGTACTCAATCCGTGGTTTTATTGCATATTGTTGTATGCGTATATTGGCTTGTATGATTGAAAATTAAATAATTGTAAGTATGTAGTTGTGGGCGTTGCAATACCTGAACGGTGCACATTCCCAGTGCAACGTAATCGATTGAGCAATCCGGTAGGTGGCAGGTGAGATTTGCACCTTAGACGAGGCGTCTTGCGCGTGTGGCGGAGGCGGGCTCTACTCCGGAGACAAAGAAGCCAGGCCATGTGTCAGCCCCCAGAGGTCATAATCAATAAAGAAAGCAGAAATCACGGTAAAGATGTCAGTAGGATTGGCTGGTGGCGGTGTGGAGGAATCTGGGCAAGTGTTTATGGGAAGTGGAAATGATGCTAGCAGGAAGATAGTTTGAAGTTAATACTCCAGTTGCCCCTTTTAACTCCGTACAGTCACACTGATTAGTGGCACGGCGTGATTAGTGGCCGCCGCGCTAGAGTTCAACCACGTTAATAGAGTCTAGAGACATACTAATTATTTGAACTACATTGCCCCACTTGGGTCGTCTTATATTTTCTGCCACCAAGCTGTGATGGCTGTGTAAGCCAGCGAATTGCCTACAGCAACAGTCTGGTGACCAGACAATGACCAGAAAAATCCGAGCTGCGAGAGTAGGGAAACTCGCGATACCTATCACATGTATACCAGAGTTAGTCTAGCGGGAGCTGAAGTCCCATGTTACAACCAGTCCATTGCCACTTTCAAAGGGTGAGCTGGACGTAGTTGCTTATTTTAGATTCTTTCCTTTCTTGGATCGAACCTGAATGCCTTCCATTTTCCCAGGTGCTGCAAGACTTTACGGGTTTAACACTGCTTCATGAATGTAATAATTTCAATGTATAGGGACGGGACATCAAGATAGGACAAATACTTTCAGAAGCTAGTTCAGGGGAAAGGGAGGACGACTTCGCCATTGGCCATGACATGAAGCGAGTGTCGTACCAAAATTACGAGAATTCGTATCCAGCCTTCACGCCTTCCTCAGCCAATCATAACTGCCTACGTCACATCCACCTCATCCCTTACCATGACCTGAGGTTAGATGGCTAACCAGTCCACACGTTAGACCGTTTTCCCCGCACTTGTCATAACCTTCCTCACTGGTAACTTACCCCATTAACAGGCGCTAGCTTATCTTACAACCCGTCCAGGATCTTTGCTTAATAATTGTGGATTAGTAAGGAAATATTGACATATTTCAAAATTTGATGAAAATTGTATTACAATTGGAATGCCACTTGTGACATGTCCCCATTCTGACTTTACTCCATTTATACAAACTCTACTTCCTGTTAGTTACCCGTGCCTCATTCGATGATAGAATTTTACCTCCAATACGATGTTCTGCCACTTTATTTAGCTGTCTTGTGTGTAAATCTGTCAAAAACCATACTGAAATCCAAATAAACATATTCTTTGTCATGGTCCATTACCTCAAATGCTTACTGAAGGAGAGTAACTTCGTGAAACAAGAACGGCCCTTTGTAAATCCGTGTTGAGCATAATTTGATTAACGAATCTCATCAAGGTTGCTTATTCGGGGTGTGCCAAAATATTGGTATCGGTGACTATCTGCTCATTTTGATGGTATCTGTAACGGCCTCAATAAACATCGGTATCATCAGAAATTTTAATATCGTCTCATGCCTCTTAATTATATTGGATATAATTAATTCAAATAATTTGCCCTCTGTTGAGGTCAGGCTTATCGGACGGTAATTTTGTGGTAAGGATTTAAGGCTGTGGCTTCTTGTCTTAACTACGAGTCGTTGGTATTGCCATGCCACACTATTACAGCCTAGTAAGGTGGTTCAATAGGTTCCATTTTGCACGTTTTCAGTACACTTGAAAACAGTTTATCATGGCCCAAAGACTTGTTTTGTTTTAAATGTCTACTTGTTTGATAACAAATGTCCCTAATGAATGTAATATTTATTTGTCTTGAGACCCTTATGATTATATATTTCTTGGGGATATCATTTATATCATTCATGTATGAAGGCCACCAGGAAAAACCTGTTAAAAAGAAACCAAATTTTATCTCGTCAGTTAGCTGTCCAGGTTGAAATTTAAGTGGGACCATGCCTGAAAGAATTTACTATAGCCACTCAATTTTTTCAGCTTTGTTTAGTCCATCTTATACTATTCTTTGAACATGAATTTAACCAGAGCCTCGCAGTTCACATATTCTTGGTATAATATACCATTGTATTCTCTTACTTTATCCGTCTTGTTATAGGCACTATAGGTCATAACCAAGTATGCTGTAACAGTTCTTATTGTGTCTGAGGTGAACATGTAACAATCTGCATTTTTTATCACTATAGAAATTGCACTAGCAGCCAAAGACACAATGAAAGAATAAGTTACACAATCTTGGCTGTAAAACCTCGCACTTAGAGAGGAACCTTATTACATTTCGGTCCATCCTGGATCATTGGTGCTACTTCACAGTGATTCAGGACAGACTAAACCGTCGTAATACGGTTCCTCTTAAGTATTTTTTTTTAAATCCACAGCAATAAATCTCTAAGTACGAATCATTCATTCTAACATTGTTCTGATATTTATAGTTACTAATTGAATTATTGTGATAGACTTGTCCTTAATTAACTACTCACGTTTGACGGGATCGACCCAGCCACCCGTGCTCGGGAGGGTCTGCAGGGCGCTGATATCTACTCCGGCTGCTGCACTCTGCGCATCGAGTATGCTAAGGTACGTTTTCCATGTCTTTATTTTATGCATTTTTTTTTTTTATCCTGTGTTTTGTCATTCTCATATATATTACCATTAACGGACTGCGGCTAGCCAGAATTCGATCCTGCGTCACTATGCCCAGCCCTGTGAGAACAGAACAATGTACGCATCCCTCTATCCACTACACTAACAATAGAGGGATGCGTACACTGTCCTGTTTTCACGGGACTGGGCATGGTGACGCACGATCGAATCATGGCTAGCCGCGGTTATATATATATATATATATATATATATATATATATATATATATAATATATATATATATATATATATTTATACAGTCACACAGTCAAATGCAAGTGCAACTATTATTTAAAAAAAAAAATTGTTAGTATAGTGGGACTGATGTGACTCCTGTGTAAATTGGCTACCTTGGTTTTCATGGTAACGATATCATTTACAGAACACTACAGGTGTTTAACAAAATAAAAGGCAACACAATTTTATAGCGCGACAGACCCATCGTTACTAATAATACTTTATTAGCGTGTATTATTTTAGCTAGTTGGGTTGGCAAGGTGGTGTGGGAAGGCCATGTTGCAGGTAAATGTCAGGTACTACACAATTGCTACCCTTCTCCCAGGCCTATTACCTTGTTTTCCCCGAAGCCAGCCACCGCTCCAGCACAGTGGTTACTAAGTGTAATTGTAGTGATAGGTTGTGGAAGAGGTAGTAATGAGGGCAAAACGTTATCGTTTGGCAACCTCAACCATGGTACCACTTCAGTCAGTATCTCTCCAAATCTGCAGCCTCACCCGGCTGCTGTTGTCATGAAAGGATTGATCATTGTGATGATTATTCAAATTATTCGTTACATGATACATGTGAACATGTTGACAAGACTGTAGGGCATCTTTTTAACCAAAAATGATTGTGAAGGGTTTTGTTATTATAGGTGTTATTGTGTGGCGCTACTAGCCGGTGTTGCATTCAGGTGTGCACACAGTAGTGTACGCCGGAATGTACAGTAGCTGCGGGCAGCCCGACTCGCTGTAAATACAATCATCATAAACTTTGCACTTCCTTTTCCCAACCTAATACTTCCAGCATTCCTACTCTCACACTATCGTACTTGGCACAATGCTCTGCCCACCTGCCTACATTTCCACATGTACCACCTGAAAAGTCACCCGGTGTTGTAAAAGGGAAGAGGAGTTTTCAAAGATTAGGGAGGGGATCATTAGGTGGGCAAAATGTAAGAGCGCTGCTGTCACCTGTGTAATCCGATATTGATCCAGGCAGTGCTAGTAACTTGGGGTGAATGAGAGTTGCAGTGACAGTGACAAGATAACATGTTAAGAAACTTGCACATGAGAAGTGGACGTATCTTAGCCATCAAATACTGAGCCTCGTGCCACTTTTTATGACCCCCGCGCCGCCCATTCCAGCTTATTTTAGACCACCATCATTTTCAGAGGAGTGCGTGTGCTATATAAAATATGATTGGCACTTCATCCTTGGTGTTTTAAGATGGTTTTTCCCAAAAATCGTTACGCGATATTTTTTATTTTTGGTTTAACTATAATGACAAAGGTACTTGCACTAGCAAAAAAGATATTGTCAAACAAGGATAAAACAGCCAGTGAGGAGCATCTTCATCCATATTTTAGTCGCTACATTTCCGAAACGTCTGTAAGAGTCAGTTTTGTAGTTCGCAGTCATGGTATATCCCGAGAGACATGTAGAGCTTACAATATTATTTGTAGGTATACAATGTGTGTGTGTGTGTGTGTGTGTGTGTGTAGATTATGATGTCTCTTGCCTGCGTTCCAGGGAATAAGGTCAAGAGACTTGAAATGTTCCAAGTAATTATGGTGCTTGACCAAATTAATACGTGCAGTGAACGTTCTCTGTACCTTACTGGATCTGCGGTTTCACTGGAATGAGGCTGTTAGTGTACAGCAATATTCCAGCCTAGAGAGATCAAGTGACTAAAAAGGATGACTACTGGCATGGCATCCCATGTTTTAAAATTTCTCATTATCCATCTTAACATTTTCCTCGCAGAAGTCATAATTACACTATTGTGCCCCTTTCTCTGACATTAGCACTCTCAAATCCTTTACGTTAGTTTTTCTTTCATTGAGTGGTTAGAATTTGTTGTATACTCCGGTCTAGCTATTATTCCCTCAAGTTTTCCAAAACGGAGTAACTGAAATTTGCCCTTATTGAACATCATTGTTTTCTGCGACCCATTGGAAAACTGAGTTACCGTGTCCTCAGAGGATGGCACACTTATGCAGATTCAAGTACCATCTGCAGAAGACAGTGCTATAGTTTACATCACTGTGTTAGGCGCGATGACGAGGAACTTGGTGGGATGAGTACTGTACCTTGTGGAACAGAGCTTTTCACTGTGCAGATTAACTCTACCATACTCTGTGTTCTATTGGTTAGAAAGTTAAAAATTCATCTGGCCACTTTCACAGTTATTCCTTTAGCGCGCATTTTATGCGCATTTACACCATGATCACACTTGTCAGAGGCTTTTGCAAAGTCTGTGTTACATCAGCATTCTTCTTGTCCTCCAGTGCATCCAAGACCATGTCATAGTGGCCCAGTAGTTGCGAGAGGCAGGTGCGACCTGCTCTAACCCATTGTTGCCCTGGGTTCTGCAATTGTTGGGAATCCAAGTGGCTGGCGATAATGCTCAGTTCCCCAAGGCACTGTCTTGGCACCTCTGCTGTTACTCATCTTCGTAGCAGATAATATATATTAACCCCGTCACAGTTTTGTATCATTATACAGATGACTCTAAAATAAGCATGAGAGTCACCTCGGTAGAAGACACTGAAAATTTACAGGAAGATAATAAGCATTGTTTTCCAGTGGACAGTGGAGAACAACATGACGTTCAATGGTGATAAGTTCCAACTACTTAGGTATGGAAGGAATGATGAACTCAAAACGGAACACTATATACAAAGCGCAAGAGGATCATAGGTAGAACGAAAGGAACACAGGAAAGACTTGGGAATAATTGTCAACTGACAAAGACAAAGGTCACGACAGCCAGGATGACGGGGTGGGTAATGAGAACTTACAAAACTAGGGAAATAATGAGGATGGTGACACTTTAAATCGTTAGTACTCCCTCGTTTGAAATATTGTTCAGTGTTGACGGCCCCGTTAGGGTTGAAGAAATATCATAGCTGGGACAAATACATAGAGATCGTTTACGGGGAACGCCATAAAGTCTTAAATATGTACTCACTGGAGAGGAGGTGAGAGATGCTTGATAATATGTATACATACAGACAGACAGGAGCTAGGACTCGACCCCTACACACACACACACACACACACACACACACACACACACAATTATACGTATGTGTGTGGGGTA